AAATGTATATAGGAAAATGCAGATCAAGAAGGAGGGCTCTATATATATGAAAAATTAATTGCAAAAATGTTCAGAATTTGATAAAATAAGTTCAATAAGTGGCAAGCATGGGAAACATTTAAAAAACTACACAAACTTATATAACAATCAAATCACTTAAACCAGTGACAAAGAATAAGACTTAAAATAAGCCAGAAGAAGAAAAAAAAGCATATCACATACAGAGGAAAAAAGAATGATTGAAGCAACATGACAATGGTATATTATAGTTATACATAATAGTGTATTATGTATATTAGCGTATTATAATTATACATAATAATGAGGTTCATTCTGACATATCATACATGCTTAGAATATAATCTGCTCCACTTCAGTCCCTACGACTTCCTACTTCCCTCCCCTCTCCCCCTTCTACTATACTGGACTTTCTTCTACTCATTTATACTTTTTAAAAATTAGTTCTTTATAGACATACATAAATGTGAAATTCACTGTGATATATTCATATATGTATATAGCATAGTTTGCTCAAATTCATTCCAAAGATCCTCTCTTTCCATCCCCTCTGCTTCCCCTTCAATCCCTTTCCTCTGCTATACTCATTTCCCTTCTATTTTCATAGATTCCCACACCCTCTTTTTCTCCCTTATTTTGGTCTAGCTTCTACATGAGAATAAACATTCAACCCTTGACTGAGTCTGGCTTATTTCACTTAGCATGATATTCTCCAGTTCCATCCATTTACCTGCAAATGCCATAATTCATTTTTTCTTTATGGCTGAGTATATCTCCATTGTGTATAAAATCACATTTTCTTTATCCATTCATCTTTTGAATGGCACCTAGTTTGTTCCCATAACTTGGCTATTATGAGTTACACTGCTATAAATACCAATGTGAGTGTATCACAGGCTGATTTTACTTCTTTTGGATAAATAGGAGTTGGAGAGCTAGCTCACATGGTGGTTTCATTCCTAGTCTTTTGAGGAATCTCCATACTGCTTTCCAAAGTGGTTGTACTAATTTGCAGTCCTACCAGCAATGTACAAGTGTACCTTTTCTCTGCATCCTTGACAGCATCTATTATTATTTGTATTATTGATAAGTATCATTCTTACTGGAAAAATCTCAGTGTAGTTTTGATTTACATTTCCCTGATTGCTAGGGATGTTGAACACTTTTTTATATATGTGTTGCCTATTTGTGTTTCTTCTTTTGAGAAGTGTCTTTTCAGTTTCTTGCTCATTTATTAATTAGGTTATTTTTTCTTTTGGTGTTAAGTTTGTAAGTTCTTTATATATTCTGGATATTAACCCCCTATTGAAGAGCAGCTGGAAAAGATTTTCTCCCATTCTGCAGGCTCTCTTTTTATGTGCTTAATTGATTACTTTTATGTGCAGAAACTTTTTAATTTGATGCAGTCCACTTGTTGATACTAGGTTTTATTTCTTGTGCTTTAGGAGTCTTGTTAAGGAAGTTTGTGCCTGCACCAATATGTTGGTGTGTTGAACCTCCTTTCTTCTAGCAGTGCAAAGTTTCTGGTCTACTTCTTAAGTTTTCTGATCCTCTGAGTTGGCTTTTGTGCAGGGTGAGAGACAGGGATCTAGTTTCATTCATCTACATATGGATACCAATTTTTCCCAGCATCATTTCTATTTACACAGTCCCTGACAATATAAAATTATTTTTTCCAGTGAAAATAAATTTGAAAAGCAATGGTAAAATGAGAAACTTTCAGATGCAGAAAGGCTAAAATGCTACATCATCAGCAAATCTGGACTTGAAGAAATGTTAAAGGAAGTCCTTCAAGCAGAAGCAAAATTATAGCAGAGGGGGAAATGTTATCTATTCAAAAGAACAAAGAACAATGAAAATGGTTACTTCAGAGAAAATATGATAAAACTGCAAAAAATGACAATTAAGTGTTTAAACAAGAAAGTGTAATAATCTGCATGATTGCAGAATGGGAAAAATATGTTTCAATGTTGTTGAGTTTCTTTTTAAAAAAAATGTTTATTTTTAGGTGTAGATGGACACAACACAATGCCTTTATCTTTATGTGGTGCTGAGGATTGAACCCGGGTCCCGCCCCTGCGAGGGAAGTGCTCTACCGCTAAGCCACAATCTCAGCCCTGTTGCTGAGTTTCTTACACTGAATTTACAGTAAAATAAGCTCAGTTGCAGGTAAACTAGGATAAGTACACATACTATAAAATATAAAGCAACCACTAAAATACAATAAGCCAAAAAAGATATAAAAATGGATTCACAAAAATGTAATGTGGTAACTTGGATTAGATGCTGGAATAGAAATGGGACCCTATTTGATTTCACACTGACAAAATTCAACATATTATTATATAGATACAATGAAATCCTATTAAAATCACAGTATATTTTCTACAGAATTTGATAAGTAGATTCTAAAATTCATACAGTAATACAAAGGGCCTAAAATAACCAAAATTAACACTTAAAAATTATAACAAAGTTGGAAAATATTTACTATCTGAATTCAGGAATCATTATTAAGGAACAGTAATCAAAACAGCTAAGTATTGGCAAGAAAGACTGACAAGTAGATCAATGGAGAATACAAATAATTCAGAAATAACCCCACATATATGTAGATGACTGATTTTTGACAACAGTACAAAGGCAATCCTGTAGAGAAAGGGATAGTCTTTTGAACAAATGGTCCTGAAACAACTGAACATGTTTATGAAAAAAAAAATACTTCAAAGCACTTCAAAGTGTGTGTGCATGCACACACACACATACAGAGAGAGAGAGAGAGAGAGAGAGAGAGAGAGAGACAGACCGACCGACCAATCTTAGTGTGGAATTTTCAAGAAGAAAACATAGGAGAAAATGTGACTAAGGGTTAGGCAAAGAACCATTTTATATGGCACATAACAATTCAAAGGTAAAATATTAATGAATTAGATTTATTTTCTAACATTAAAACCTTCAACAATTCAAAAGACACTGTTAAGCAAATGAAAAGTCAAGTCAACGTTTGGGAGAATATCTTTCCAAAGCAAATGACTGATGAGGGACCTGTATCCATATAATATAAAAAATACTCAAAACTCACAATCAGTAAACAAATAATTCTACTGAAAAATGGGCAAAAGTTTTTAATATACACAATTCTCCTGAGAAGTGGCAAATAAACCCATAAAGAGAAACTAAAAAAAATGAGTCATTAGAAAAAGGCAAATTAAAACTACAATGAGGCTGGGGTTGTGGCCCAGTGGTAGAGTGCTTGCCTGACACGTATGAGGCACTGGGTTCAATTCTCAGCACCACATATAAACAAATAAAATAAATGTCCATTGACAAAAAAATAAAAACAAAACAAAAAAACTACAATGAGATACTACTTCACATCATTAGAAATTTAGAATGGCTATAATGCCGCCTCCTCCTCCTTCTTCCTCCTCCTCCTCCTCTTCCTCCTTCTCCTCCCCCTTCTCCTTCTCCCCCTCCCCCTCCCCCTCCTCCTTCTTCCCTCCCTCTTCCTCTCCCTCCCCAACCCCTCCTCCTTCTTCTTCTTCTTAATTTTTTCTTGTACTAGGGATTGCTCTTAGGGACCTGAACTGCTGAGAAACAACCCTAGCCATTTAATTTTTTTTTATTTCTGAGAGAGGTTCTTACTCACTTGCTTAGGAAACTACTGAGTTGGTGAGGCTAGCCTCAAACTTGAAATGCTCCTGCCTCAGCCTTCCAGGTAGCTAGGATTACAGGTGGGCAGCACCAAGCCCTGCTATAATGTCTTTATTAGACATAATAAAACATATTGTTGAGAATACAGAGTAACTGGAAACCTTATATACTGCTTTTGGAGATGAAAGTTGGGACAATCAGTTTGGAAAAGACCTTTTTAGGAATCTTAAAAAGAGAATGAAAGAAAGGAGAAAGGAGGGAGGATAAGAAAAGGAAAGACAATGGAATGAATCTGACATTCATATATGTACATATATGAATACACCACAGTGAATATCACTATCATGTATATCCACAGGAAATCATTTTAAAAAATAAATAAAAATAACTATGAGTAAATGGCAGAAAGACAGATAGAAAGAAGGGAATAGGGGGTAAGTAAAGAGAAGGGGAAGGAGAAGTACTAGGGGTACAAATTAGAATAAGAAAGATATATTCCATGATTATATAATTATATCAAAATGGACTCAACTGTCATGTATAATTAAAAAGAACCAATAAAAATGAAAATGAATATTAAGAAGTTATAGATGCAATTGTCATATGAAACAGAAATTTTACTCCTGGAAATATAAATAGGAGAAATGAAAACATGTTTTCACAAGAGGTTTGTATACATATGTTCACAGTAACATTATTCACAAAGGCCAAAAAAGGTGGAAATAAATGTTTATCAACTGGTAAGTAAACAACCAGAATATAGTATATTCGTGCATTGAGATTATAGTCACTAAATAAAAAGGAAAAGTTTACTGATATGTGCTGTAATGTGGATAAATCTCAAAAACTATATATTTTAAGTGATTGAAGGGAGGAGCAAATGATCACATTTGTAAAACTTAGCTCAGATGCAATGTTCACAAAAGAAAAACCCATATATACATGAATACATTACTTGTTTCCTGGGGCTCAGAAGCTAGACAAAAGAGGTCTCTTTCCTTGCTACCTTGTTTGTAGTACTGGGGATAGAACTCAGAGTCTCAGACATGCTAGGCCAGTGCTCTAACACTGAACCATAACCACAGGCAAAAAGAGCTCAGTTAGCACTGATAGAAATGTTCTAAAACTGTATTTTAGGAATGATTTCTCAGTTCTTTACATTTACTAAAAAATCATTAAATTGGATATTTAAAATAGATAGTTTCTGTGGTTTGTAAATTATGACTCAATAAATACCCACAGTGGCTTTGTCCTGCATGCAGAATTAAACCCACAACTCCTTATGAACACAAAATCTAATCTCTTTCTGTTCTGTTCATGTTTTTCAGGAAAATAAGTGATTTGTTCAAAAGGCATGTTCAGAAGAAACAAACAAATTCTAAAATCTGCTGAAGGAGATACACACAAGGAACAGAAAGAAGAAAAAGGAAAAAGAGAGAAAGAAAAAGAAACACAGAGAGAATGTAAAGAAAAAAAGAAACAAAGAGAGAATTTTTCCCTTGAGGTTCTTTGCATTTCCTATGCTCTTTCAACATAGTATTTTATGCTCAAACTTCCCTACTCTGACAAGCAACTGGGCAGTTTGAGCAATGATTAAATCTGAATCAAAGTGTTGTGATTCTCAGATTTACAGAGAGAGCTTCATGCCATCTTCTCCTTAGATACACAAAAATACTAGTTTCAATTCCTTTACAACTTTCATCAGTCAAGCAGACAAACACTGTATAAAGCAAGCACTGTTCTGGTTCCTGTGCGTTCATGATGAGAAGACCCCTTACTTCAAATAAATAATTGAGGACAAATATATAAATAGTACATACAAATCAAAACTATTATGGATGAAGTAGAAATGGGACCCCCAGAGTCATTATACTCACTTTAAGTTCACCCCACCTGATTCTACCAGAGTGGTCTAAGATGAATCTCCCTGGAACCCACGGGGCTCCTCACAACATTATTTCAAAGAAACAAATTAAATAAATCCTCTTCATACTAGAGAAAATGAACAAAGTCCACAAATGGGAAAGGAACTATCAAAAGCTACACGGCCACCATCCTCGGGTCCTCTGCAATTTGAAATGAAGATAATTATATATACATGAAACTTCTAAAGACTGGCAGCATGCCATCTTTCTCTTTTGAACATCCATATCACTTATCACATTGTTTTGGCCATAAGTGGACAGGAACAATTAATTACATTTGGAATGATAATAAGTGAGAACAAATAGATGGTAAAACTAGAGAACTGATTACAACACCAATAGCTGCAGAGAAGGAAGACAAGTAGATCTGAAAGGGAGAAGTAAACTTTAGGGAAGATTTCATTTATTTTGTTAGAATTTATTAAGAAGCCATTAGTGCTAGGAACTGGAAAGGAATCTAGTCTTCAGAAAGGCTAGATAATTTAATAAAAACACTTAATAATAATGCCTATTATATTTGTGGAGCCTAATATGTTCTAGCAACTGTGCTGGCACTTTATAGGCTAAGAAATTTAATTCTCATCATACCAATACAAGCAGTATGGTCAACTTCATTTGTACAGATTAAGAATTTGAGATTGAAAGGAATAAAGTGACTTACCTAAGACTAAAAATTTAAGAAGTAAAAGACACAGTGCTGTAAGCCTGATCACCTTCCATCACACCTAGGATTTTCATCATATGATGGATTTAAAGTTAATGAAAACAAGCCAACGGTGAATTCTTATCCTAGTTCAGCCACACATTTTAGGGTGAAATAGGACACATCATGGAACTGTGTTGAACACTGAAATGGGATTCCTGAGCTTCTCCTGAGCCACTGCCTCTCCAAGCACTAGCCAAGACAAAAACATTCACCTGGTTACTTTCTTCCCAATGACTCCTTGCTGGCTATCATAGAGGAGGAAAGAAGAGGGGCTAGGGATATGGATCATCATTCCTGGGACAAACTTGGCAGGCTCACCTGTGACCCAGCTTCATAGGTGACTCAGCACCAATGCTCACTCAAAAAGCAGGGCAGCAGAGCTGGGACTTACTGCATTTGACAAAGGAATGATCAGTGAATAGACACTGGCTAGTGGAAGGGGATGGAGAGTTTCCTGTGTATACTGATGAGTAAAGGACATGGTGAGAAGTGGACAGATCCAGATTATATTGTGGAGGTGCAACTCACCAGGCCTTATGAATGCAGTGGTTTTCCAAGGATGGTTGCTCCAGCAGCACCAGTAGCATTGCCTACGATCTTGTTAGAAATGTGAATTCTCAGGCCCCACCCCAGAGTTGCTGAACCAGAGACCCTGGATTGGGGCCCAGCAATCTATAATTTAAAGGCCCTCCAGGTGTAACCCGAATCATGATCAAGTTTGATCCTACTGTGCTAATGATTGGTCTGGAGTTGAGAATTCTGTTGGGCCTGTTGGAGATACCAGTGTCACATGCAGTGTGCTAGGTTAACTGGGCAGTGGAATATGTGAGTCTGGAACTAGGGATAGATCAGATCTGTTGACTTTCTTTGGAGGATCATTCAGATCAGGTGCTATTCATCCAAAGTGGCAAAACTCCACAGACTAGCATAGTCCTGTGTTGGCCCAGGATAAGTGCTCTGTAAATGCCACTGAGTCAGCCTATCCTGCTGCCTCCAGGAATGTGAGATCATTGCTTAAGGAACAAGTGTTCTTTCGGTTAATATTTATTTGCTCATCTGAGAAAACCGCTGCTGTGGGAAAACAGGTTTCATAATGTAGTCCACTTGAAGATTTTATACAGCTCAATACCAATGCTAACTCCTTTCCATGCTTTCTGCTGAGGTCAGCATTGTTTGGCTTAACTTACCCATCCCCAAGTCCCAGAGCTCCCAGCTGCCCTGTGCCTTGCTCCTGACTAGGCACAGCCCCAGTGTCACTTCTGAAGCCCACTCTCAGAGGAGCCTGCTGAGCCTGCCAGAGTATTGGCTGAGGAGGAAAAAGGAGGACAGAAGGGAGGAAAGGACAAAGTGAGGAAGGAAGGGTGGAAAGGACTGAGACACATGACAAAACTGTAAAGTAAGACGGGTTAATGTGAGTGCTAGAATAAATATTCCCATAGAGCATGCAGGGCTGGGGGAGCCTGATTCATTTGCTCTGGGGACTTTGAGAAAGTTTGAGAGAAGTGGCATTTCCTCTGGGAATTTCTTGAAATGTGAGTAGGATTTACAGAAATATGAGTAGGATTTACAGATTCAGAATGTGGAATGAGGCATCTACACAGGAAGAACCCCAGAGGAATGGAAGTTCATGAATTAGGAACTTCTCCATGGTTAAAGGACAGAGTGAAGGAAAGGATTAGTATCAGGTAAGTGGAAATGAAGAATCTAGATGTGATTTGTGGGGCAGAGTCTTGAGTGCCATGGTAAAGCTGATGGACAAATGTTTGTCCAAAAGATAAAGACTAAGAAATGACCTAAGTGAGAAATGAAGTTCACATCATTTCCTCACACACAAACACACACACACAAAACTATAACAAAATCTTTCCCATTATATGCCCACCAACTCTTATGTTGATAATCCCCATCTTATTTTTAAAAATAAAGTTTAATAGTACTATAAGCAACTGACTTACTTTGACTTAAAACTAACCATTGGCAATACCCCGTATTTTAAAAAAGACACTGTGAACAATGGGAATTTTCCCTTTTTTTATTCCACCTTCTGTTTCTTCAATTCTTGTTTTTCCTTTTCCATGTATCCACATGCTCCTTCCTTACCACTTAAAAGCCCAAGGAATAGATGGAGAAGGCCTGAGGTCTGAAGAATAGTGTTAGAGTAGGATTGTGCTAGGCTTGGCACATGGTCAGAGCAGGAGCAGGGAATGGGCTTAGATGAAAGAATCCATTCCTGAGGCTGTTCCCAATGCAAATTCTGCCATTGGTGAGTGTGAGTTCTGGGTATGTTTCTGGGTCTCTGTGTGTGGAAAGGCTCTGAGCTTGAATTCCTTAGGTGGTGATGCCATCATTATCACTGCTTCAGCCCCAAGAATATTCCATTTTTAACAGAAACAGGCTGCTTTGCTTATAAACTAAGAAATTTGGGATAATGGTAATTATAATTTAGAGCAGTTGAAAAACCACGAGCCATGAGTAATCAGATTATCAGCATTTATGAGGGCATTAAATGCCGATAAAATGTGTGTGCCATGTGAATAGGAGGATGCATTTTTTTAACTAGCAGTGTCACCATAGATTGATTGCCTAAATTCTCTGAATCTCAGTGCCCTTGTGTGTAAAATTAGAATAATAATTCTCAGCACAGATTTCCATTGGGAAGGTTGAAGATTAAATGAGCTTTTAAAAGAGCTTTTAAAATATTATGTTCTCAGCAAATATTTGTTCCTTTTCCTAGTTCTTTCTGGCTGTTTCCTTTGCTGTTTCCTTCTGCCTCTCATATGTGTTTGTCTATGGACATCAAGTGTATATTTGTAATACTTTCTGCATTCTAAATACATAAACCAGATTTAAATGCTGTATGTTAATGTAAAATTGCCAAAACAATTTATTTTAAGTCATTTTTGAAACATATAATTTTGGATTCATATCTCCTTGGTTGATTAACCCTTTTTCATTATGCAGTGTCCCTACCTCTTTCTGGGATTTTTTTTTTTTTTTTTTACTCTGGTATCTGTTTTCTTTGATAATAAGTAAACCACTTTTGCTTTCTTTTGATTAATTCTTTCATGGTATCTTTTCCCATACTTTTAATCTCAGCTACTTATATGTTTATTTTTTAAGTGAGTTGGTTAAATGACATCATAAAATTAATTATGTTTTTCTTAAATCCTCTCTGCCAATCTCTACTTTAATTGGTCTATTTACATTATTTTTATTTACCATAATTATTGAGATGTTAAACTAAATCCGCCTTTTTATTTTTGTATTGTTTTCTCTCTTCTTTGTTTCTCAGTTTCCTTTCTTCTGCCTTCCTTCAGTAAATTACACTTTTTTCAGAGTCCCATTAAGATTTATTTTTTTTAAAAGAGAGAGAGAGAGAATTTTTTAATATTTATTTTTCAGTTTTTGGTGGACACAATATCTTTTTTTATTTTATTTTTATGTGGTGCTGAGGAGCGAGCCCAGTGCCCCGCACATGCCAGGCGAGGGCTCTACCGCTTGAGCCACATCCCCAGCCCCAAAGATTTATTTTTAATGTTTTTATTTTCATCTTTTTATATAGGTTTTTAGTGTTATGATCTCAGTACTACATTACATATACAAAATTTATCACCATCTTCTGACATCATCATTTTATCAGCCTTAGTGAAGTACAGAAAGCTTTTCTCCTTTTTCTTTCTTTTCATGCACCCATTTATAAATGTCATACATATTTCATCTACATACATGAAATCCCATTAGATAATTTTTAAATTACCTTTCAATCATAAAAATTATTAAGAAATTTGAAAATAAAAAGGGAATTATGCCATATTTACCTATGTTTTTGCTTACAGCATTTGTTCTTCCTTCCTTGGCTCCTTCTTTTTTCTGTTTTGCAAACTTTTGTCCATTTTCAGGATAGATCTGCTGATAAATTCCCCCAATTGTCCTTCATCTGAGAATGTCTTGATTATGCCTTCATTCAAAAAATATTATCACTAGTCATAAAGTTCTGGGTTAACATTTCTTTTTCTTCAACACTTGAAAAATATGCCACTTGCTGCTAGGATCTTATCAGTTTCTGATCAGAAATCTGTCATTCTATTTTTTTTTCTTGTAGGTATAGGTAAGGTATTGGTTCTCTTAAGACTGTCTTCCCTTCAAGAGTTTTTCCTTTTTCTTCTTTTTCAGAAGGTTGGTTACAGCACATCTTAGAATGGATTTCTTTTTGTTGATTCTATTTGTGTTTAATCCCCTTTGTGAATTTGTAAGTCATTTCACACAATTTTGGAAATTTTAGCCATTTTTCTTCAAGTTCTTTACCAATCCTTTTCTCCTTTCCTACTGGGAATCTGTTGGTATCAATGTTAAAGTTTCTGTGATAGTCTTGCAGACACTTCTATTGTTTCATGTTTAAGCTAATATTTTTCCTCTCTTCTCCAAAACCTTGCTATGGAGACCACCCATTGAGTTTTTAGAGCCTTGTTATATTTTTCAATTCTAATATTTTTTGCTGCTTCTTTATTTTATTTTCTTGTTGTTGAGACTTTCTACATATTTGTTGTAATTTTCTTTTTTATCATTTATTTCAAGTATGTTGTAGTTGCATATTGCAACATTTTTATGATCTATATTTTAAAACCCTTTTCAACAAGGAGCAGTGGTGCACACCTGTAATCTCAGTGGCTCAGGAGGCTGAGGCAGGAGGATCATGAGTTCAAAGCCAGCCTCAGCAAAAGTGAGGCACTAGCAACTCAGTGAAACCCTGTCTGTAAATAAAATACAAAATAGAACTGGGGATGTGGCTCAGTGGTCAGGTGCCCCTGAGTTCCATCCCTGGCATCCCTCCCAAAATAAATACATAAATATTCTCATTCAAGTTGCTATGTTGGTATGGTAAGTGGATTTCCATTAAAAGTTGGACAATATGGGTCTTACTTACATCTTTTGTCTCAGCAGGCTTCCTCTGATATCCCCTTCATGGAAGTTCAACAGAAGTCCAGTTTCTCCATTAGGTCTCTTTTGACTTCCAGGGTGAATCATCTTTGTTAATGCTGGTTAGTGGCAGGAGTTCAGCCTTCTCTCTAAATCTCTGTTGATCCCATCCCAACTGGTTAGAGGAAAACCTCCTAGATAGCACTTGAGGGTAGAAATCATGGCTCCCCAGGTGTTCTCCCTTGGGTGTGGTCTGTTTTCATTGGGGATGAAAGTCCTTGTTGTGGTATGGTCCTTCTCTGGGGATGAGATAGTCTTCTTTTAAAGCCCAGTGAGAGTAGACAACCTGGTTTTCCATTTGCAAGCCCAGACATCTTATTAGCTGCATTGTTATGACAGTTAGCATTCTCCTGCAACAATGACTCTCCCTCCCTACCAACTGATGCTTTTGTAGAAAAATAAATTCCCTCCACCTTCCCAGTCCTTCTGTGGGAGATAGTGGACAAAACAGGGCCTCTCTGTAGGCAGACTTTAGTTCCTGTCAAAATATGGCATTTTCAAGGAGCATGGTGCGGAAGGATCCCAAGTTTGAGGCCAGCCTGGGCAACTAAGCAATACCCTGTCTCAAAGTATAAAAAGAGCTGGGGATATAGTTCTGTAGTAGAGTGCTTGCCTTAGGATATGTGAAGATCTGGGTTCAATTCCCAATATCACAAACCAAAATGTGGCATTTTCAAGCTGTGTGGCTCTGGGATATTCAAATTTTCTGAGCCTCCATTTTCCAGCTCTAAAGGAGGAGTACAAAGATCAGAGGATTTGCAGAAATGAATGAAAGTAGGTCAGAGTGTATGGCACATCAGGATCTCAATAAATAATAATTTTCTTCCTTCCCCTCCCCTGCAGAAGGAGAGATGCAACTTCTTCAGAGGAAGAAGGATGTACAGATCTCACTAGGCATTCCCAGGGTTAAATCTCATGGTCGTATTTCTTAAAGAGACTCACTTAACATCCTCCACCCATTTTCACTGAAAACCACGCCACAGAAACACGGAGACAACCCAACCTAAGTCACCCTCAGAGAGTGGAAGTCAAAGTAGGGACTAAGGCAGTGCAGGGAAGACAAAAGAAAGCATAATGCTGGCCCACACAGTCAGCCCACCAGGCACAGTTATGTTCCCAGCAAGGACAACATCATCGCCTTGACAAAGCTGCTCCAGGAGTAACTGGGATGGTGGACTTTCGCAACTCCCAATTTGCCACCCACCCTTCTCCTCTAGCTTCTCAGAGCGGCTGTCATCATCTCAGTGTGGTGACTCCATCCTCAATCCCATAGCTCCCATCCCCCAACTGAGGCGGGATAGAAAGAAAGTGGCAACTAAGTAAAATGAAAACCAGTGCGCGCCATCCTCCCAGTCCCCGCCATCCTCCCAGTCCCCACCCGCTAGGATTCCTCTGCACCCTCAGTCCTCTGGCCACCAGCAGCCGCCACTAACTTTGACGCGGTAGACTCAGCTATCAAAGGCTTTCCTGAGCTCCAGGTCCTGAAGTTAAACCGGAGACCGGGGAAAGAAAATCTCAACAAAGCAGCAAGACGCCAAAGACACCTTAAAGTCAACAAGTACTTTTAAATAATGCGTCTGTAAATGCCAACCCTGACCCCCAGCCCAGGAAAAATAAAGCTGTCTTGGGACCAGCCTCTAGTGTCTCCATCTGTGCTTTCTCAGTCACAACTGGCAAGGGCGCTCCCTTCCTTTCTCTCCCTCTGTTTCTACTACTCTTGGTTCCAAATATCCCCAGACCCCACTCTCTGAACCTCACCTTACCTGTGGCGAATGCGCCCCTTTCCAGATCCCCTCTGCAAGTAGTCCAACAATAGATACTTTCCATAGGTAAAGCCCTCTCCTTTAGCGAGGGATTGGGGCGGGGAGAGGGGGATCTCAAGGAGGGTGGAGCAGGGAATGCTGTTCGTGCTACTTACCTAATCTCTTTAATGCTTTCCAATTTGCACATGATTTCTTGTTCATCTGCCATGCTTTTCACTCTCAATTTCACGTCCCGAGAAACCTACAAATACACCAGCCAAGGGATACAATGGATACAATGTAGCCACCTCCTCGGGGCTTGGGGCTCTGAGTCTGTGCGGTAGGGGCTTGGAGAAGGGCTGGGAGCTGTAGTCCGCAGCTCCAGGGCCAGCCAGGCATCCCAGGGGCTTGCAGAACTACAACTCCCAGAAGGCCAAGCGACTAATGCCTGTTTCTCTTCCTGCAGCCGCACTTTAAATCAGTTTGTCACCGATAATTATGTCAAAGGTTGTGAGAAGTGCAGGAGTATGGGATTACCCTGTGCGGAAGAATGGGGTTAAAATTACCAAAAGCAACTAGAAAGATGAGAAATACACCCATTCACACCCCCTCGAGGGACCCTCTTGCTTTAGCTATTGGCAAAAGGTTACCAGGACTCGCTAATTACTCAAGCCTTGGTCTAGGAGAGAAATCCTGCAGGGGAATTAGAGGTCAAGTGCTTTAGTTGCTGCCAGGAGACTAGTGGCTTTGGTATTCAAATGGAAGTGGATCAGAGGTGGGAAAAGGAGGAACTGAGGAGGGGTTGATACAAAAACTGGGATATATTGGGGTTGGGGAGGGACGTTTTTCCTTCCAGCTGCCAGTTCATTCAATGATTACTGAGCAGAGACTGTCAATTGTAAGTCAATGAAGAATGTACTGAAGGGAGGCACTGGGATAGGCAAAGATAAAAGCAGGTCCTTGCCTTTGAGAATCAGGAGAGACTGAAAAGTAACCCATTAATTGCAGTACAGTAAGGTATCCTAATATATGGATAGATAGGTGTAAACTGTGAAGAGAAGATGTAAATAAGTCTCAAATGGTAACTAAGAATTTGCCAGACCCTAGAAAGGAATGGGCTTTCCAGGACAAGATACAACACATAAAGAAAGGACAAGTGGTTCAGGATGTCTGAAGCATAAGGTTCTTACATGGGGTGTGAAGGTGAGAAAGAGAAGTGGGAGACTAGAAGAGAGAGGCTAGAGACAGTTTGTGAAATACTTTAAATATCAAACTAAAGAATTCTGACTTAATCCTGTAGGCACACATTCATCCAGTACACATTTATTAAGTGCTTATTATGTGCCAAACAATGCAGAATTATATTGAAATATTTTTGTTGTTGTTGTTCTGGGGATTGAACTCAGGGCCTCGTGCATGCTTAGCATTCACTCTAGAATTGAGATACACTACCAGATTATTCTAAATTAAAATAATTTTAAAAGTACAGCAGTGATAAGGTTGGAAGGTTATATAGTGAGTTGACAGTGGAAGCAAGTTGGACAATGATTAGAAGAGTTGAGATCAGGCAAGAGGGAGTTAGTTACTGAAAGAACACAGCCCCAGAGAGCTGAGCTGTGCACAAAAGGTGGACTTTAATTCACAATTCCAACTAAAGAAACTAGTTGGAACTAAAGGAATTCCAACTCAATCTCTCTGATTGAGCCTCACCTTTTCTGAGTGCTGTGAGCAAGCTGTCATTAAGAGAGACCAAACACATTTGTATTTTTCCATAGTGTCAGAATTTATTGAATAACAATTCACAGGCCACACCACTTTCATGGGGTGGCAGTTCATTAAATATTTGTGAGTAATCTGGTAGTCAAAAGCTGGGCAGATGCAATGTTCTTTTATTCCACTCAAGTCACAAATCACACTTGTTCAGGGTGTAGAGCTGTCAAAGTGCAGGAACTCACTCTAGGTTTGTCATGGAAGACAGTTGCAGAGTGTAAGCTTGGTGAGTCAGCTTGAGATGTCAAATTGGAGTGGGCTGTGTGTGGTCATCACAAGCAGAAGAAACCACAATCAGCTGAATCCTGAGCATGGATTCAGAAGTTTTTCACTGTGACAATTTCCTTGGGCAAGGCTCACCTTGAGGAGTGACCAGGTGATGGAATCAGGGTGCTGCCCAGTGTCTAGTCTCAAGGTGCTCCTCCTTATATGGGCCTTGAGTAAGAGTATTGTTTCATGCAGTAGCCTGGTATGTTCAAAGAGCTAATGGCTCTGGTTTTTCTGATATGAATTTGATATGCCCACCATACACATGCTTCTGATTAATTCAGTAAGTTCACAGGTAGACTTTTTTAAAATATTTTTTTTACTTGTAGGTGGACATTGTAATGCCAGATTCATGGGACTCCAATAGACCTCCAGGAGCCGAATCCGATGCAATCACACAAGAGTCTTTATTGCAAGCTCGAGCCTGGACTCACAACCGTTTCCAATGCAGGGTCCCAGGGATTGAGTCCCGGCCCTTTGTCCAGTGAGATTTTATAGGTTTCTGGGGATACTCTATGCATCACAACATTACACAGCAAATCATTCCATACCATGGTAAAATCAAACAACAACTCTTAACATTGATTAGCACATTCACTGGCGGGAACAAGTTGGGTAGGGGTGATTGGTTAGTACAAGAGGGGGATTCCTTTGAAACATGGTTTAAGCCATGAGGGGTGTACGTGCTAAACTTCGTGGTTTCCCAACATGTTATCAACCACCATAAACTACTTGGGGGTCATCTGGCATCCCAGGTATTTTCCCTGTCTCATGCTGATTGGTGGCTGCTAGGGGGCTGCTATGTGTCCTCACCTAACCTAAGTCAGAAACACCTGGCGCCACAGATCTCTCCTGTTACTTACTTACAAACAACTCAGCAGGGCGGCTATCTGCCTAGAAAGGCTCTGTGGGTTTTTTCCAAGGATAAGGGTCACGCCCCCTTCCTTAGGACAGGCCTTGAGGTAGAAGCTGCTATTTATTTATTTTCAAAAATGGGGTCACATCAGTTTCTCAGACGCAATACCTTTATTTTATTTTATTTATTTTTATATGGTGCTGAGGATCAAACCCAGTGCCTCATACATGCAAGGCAAGCACTCTGCCATTGAACCACAATCCCAACCCCTCACTGGTAGACATTTTTATTACCACAGTTATCAATTTGTGACTTATGGTTGTACTAGGCAGATATTGGTTGTTTACTTGTATGAAAAAAGATGGAGGGTCATTCTACTTTGGCACTTAAATTCAAAATGAAATTGCTTATGGCAAATTAGTGCTTTATAAAATGAAGTAACATGGGTTTAGTAACACAGGAGAACAGCTGTTCTATACATCATGGAGTAATGAATCTCAAGCCATTCTTGATGTCCACATGATTTAAATCTTCTCCAGAGAAGGAACTGAAGAATTTCTCTTCTCTCTACTCCAGACTTCATAAGTTTCATAACAGGAAATTTTTCCTGGTATGGAGCCTAACATTTTTCTGAGAGTCTTGAAGGTCCTTATCCAGATGGCACTTAAGGATCATTGAACTGGTTGCTCACAATACCTGTGGGCCTGGATCTATAAATTGGCCCCACAATGTCCTATAATAGAAAAGAAAGAGGAAGAAGTCCATATAAGTCCATATAAGAGCCTGGCCCATACTGGCTGCTATGCTGAGAGCTATATGCTATATGTATAGTTTATCATTTCATCTTCACTGTCACCATGAAGGGGATAAGCAGATGCTTTTTTTTTTTTTTTTTGGTCCTGGGGATTGAAACGAGGCACTTGACCACTGAGCCACATCCCCAGCCCTTTTTGCTTTTAATTTTGAGACAGAATCTTGCTAAATTGCTCAAAATGACTTTGAACTTGTCATCCTCCTGAGTGCTGGGATTCTAGGCATGCTCTACCAACCTTGGCTGATGCATCCTTTTTAACAAGGTAGAAAATTGACTCTGATAGGAAAAGAAAATGTGTCAGGGCCACACACTAAGTTACAAAGCAAAGACCTGAGGTCAACTTGGACCAATTACCTGCAGATTGATGAAGGAAATGCATATGAAAAAATACAGAGATCAAAAGTAAAATGAGGTGCTGGATGAACATAAAGTGCTTGAAAAGTGAGTAAACTATTTTGGGGAAAAGTGGACAGTATATATGGATATGTGTGGGAAGCAGTTTGGGAATGGTCTTTTTCCCACCCTCCACTTCCTTTATCAATCTTTACCTTTTGCCATGTCTATGGCTCTGGTAAGGGTCTAGATGTGGTAATATATCTGTTTAAATTAAATATATTATGGGATAACAGTCTGATTTTTCACAGTAATTTGGCAAATATATTTTAAGCCTCACTAAATTCCTATTTCTCACATGAAGAAATTGAGGACAAGAGATGCAAAAGATTTATTCAATGTCACCCACCTTGGCTGACAGAAACAGAACACCTGATTCATGCAATCTTCCTATGGCTCCACACAGCCTATATTAAACTGCTACAGCTCCCATGGATTCTGAATGCCTCTATTATTTCAGCTGGTTGATGTACTCCAATACAGGATGCTTTCAGAGGGCAAATCATACTCTGTGCTTCCAATACAAGGACATTGAAGGGAGATGGCAGTTAGTCTGGGAGAAGAGGCCTGGAACTTGGATGAAGGTCCATGCCATTTGTAACAATTAATATGTCCAATTAAAGAAAAATGATAAGCCATTTAATTTCTATGGGTTTTCCTTAGGTCTTTGATCTCTTTAGGAAAAGTTGTCTCACCCATTCCTTGCTATGTTTGTAAGAAACCAGGCTAGCAATGAGAGGGAGAAAAATGTCATAGGGCA